TTCGATAGGCTTTATTATTGACGATTTTACATAGTTCTTAATTACAATAAATTCATCACACATTTTCCCCTTCCCTTCCCCACGAAGTAATATGATGTCCATGTTCGTAAATTTGAAATCAATTTTCTTACCTCGTTGATCATTATGCCAGAAGTGTAACTGCTTTCAACACGTTATATTCGATGAATTCGATGATCTGTGGCCGTAATTGTGAAAAAAATAATCATCTTATGTATACAATTAGTACATTGATATCATACATAGGTTATGTACGTAATGATATGTCTACATACATACAAGACGTACATATATTCACAGGTCTTGTCATTTTGCAACAGTCATCACAACAGTTTTCTAATTCTATCGCTTATCAGAGGAAGCACATTAGTCAAAAGTTAACGAAGAAAGCTCGAAAATACATGTCCGAACGTTTGTTATTATCAGCGATAAACGGAGGAATTTTTTTATCCTTAAAAACATATATGTCTGAGGAGAATAGCATATCTCATCGAGTTGTAAGTGACTTAAGATCAAATTTTAAAATTCAATATGCTAATGGAATGGATCAATACATCGTTTGTACTGATGATGATTTCGGAGCCCTATCGGATTCCTGCACAGATACTGCGTAATAGAAAAGAATGAAAAGTGAAAACGAGAAGAGAGTACTTGTCCTTTCGTCCAAATCTCCAGTCTAAAGGACTTAGCAAGGCAAAATTTGAAGAGATATCTGCACATAACAGTTCAAACTATGTGTGGTCATTTGTTTTACTAATGAGGGGAGCTCTAAATCAATCTAATTAGCAGTTATCTCGTTGGGTGAGCAGCAGAATAGCGAGAAGAGCTATAGCCGAACGGAGTTAATTGGACGAAAGGACAAGTACTCTCTCCTTTCTCGTTTTCACTTTTCATCCTCTCCTATTACGTAGTATTTGTGCATGAATCCGATAGGGCTCCGAAATGGTCATCAGTATAAACAATGTATTGATCGCTTGCATTAGTGTATTGAATTCTGATCTTAAGCTGGAAATCATTCACGACTCGGTGAGATATGGTATTTTGCTAGCACATATATATTTTAGAGGCTAAAAAAATTTGTTCATCACTGATAACACCAATGCTCATGAACATCTATTTTCATCTATTTTCGAACAATCACTGAACATCTATTTTCGAACAATTGTCCTCACTGACTGCATAACTGTCGCATCGTCCAGTTACGAGAAGGCTGAAATATTTTGATTAGTCACAAAATCATTAGTGTCCATCATTCCATCAGTTTTTTTAATTTTTTTTTTTCATTTCCTTTTTCATTTCAGATTGGTTTGTGCTAGGAGGAAGCGACGAATAAGTGAAGGTGCCATTGTCCTGAGCCGTACATTGACTATTGAATCGACGAACTGAACGGATACTGAATGCAATGTCCTTTATGGATTATATCAAGCTCGATCAGGAAATCCTTTCAGGTGCCGCTGGCCGTGTACAACGCCTCAGAATGTATCCATACTTTGATCTGGCACATTACATACTTGTTAGTTGTTGTGTTCTATTGTAGATGTCTTCCTCACATTCCCTCTACAATCTGTGACTGGATTATGGTTGAAAAGGGTGGAATGACTTTTATACATTGCATTACCTTTATCTTTTCGTAGAATTCAAAGAATGCATAGTATGACTTTACTTTCGTTCACAGAAAAATCAGCTAAAAACAATTTGTAACTGTTTTGACATATGTACTATGTCATTTTACGATATGTGGCGAGATTTGACACTATATGATGTAGAAGGCATAAGGTAGTTAGACAGGTACTTACATTGTCATTCTAAAATATACATCACCGGAAGCAGACTGTATAAGTAGCAGTAAAATAAATATTAAATGTATAAGTTGTGGTAGACAAAAAGAAAAGAGAATTTGCGGTGTTATTTTTTTCTCTCTTCATTCTTCGAGTTATCAATGCAATTTATCCAATTTTTTCTCCTGAATCTTTTACTTTTGACCAAGTGCCATTTATATGTATATGTCACAGTATTTAATTCAAATGTTCTATTTCAGATGACAATATCAGTTCGGGATGATTTAGCGACTGGAGCATCATTGTTTTCCCGGAAACATCCATTGAGTTGTTGGCTTTCATCGATGCTGATGTGCTTCGCAGGCAGCATCTCGGCTAATTTCCTCTTGGGAGAGCCAGTTATCGCACCATTTAAACGACACGATGACATTTTGCTGGTTTCTTATGACTTATATTCAAATAGGAGGAATTATTACGAATTAATGCCCTTCACTTTAAAGTACTGTGTAATCATTCATAAAATATTGCGCTGATTTGAATTTTTAATTGCTGGTGGACGTCGGCTCTTTACAAGACTCACTGTGTTTTAGTAATTATCTTGATCAAAAACTTTTTGACTTTATCACCTGTTGCATTAACTTGCATTAACCGTTAATCATGACTTGTAGTATTGTATTCTTGCGTCAACTATTAGTAGATAGTTAGTTGATGAGCAAGACTTATACTTTTCAGGCTACCATTGTTTGGTATTTCGTATTCTATTCCCCATTCGATATAGTCTATAAAGTGTCAAAACTTCTGCCAGTCAAAGTTGTTCTGTGTGTATTGAAAGAAGTCCGAAGAACATCCAAGGTCTTTTTCTTTAGAAGCGTCTGCTTATTTCTTTTGAAAACTCATTTTAAATTTGGGTTTTTTTGAAGCTTCAGTAAGAAAACGTTGTTGATGAGACTGTTTTTTCTTTAAATTTCAAGGTTCTAGTTTTTAATCGCATATCCCTTGACAGGTCGTACATGGTGTGTCGCATGCATCGAAGTTGTATCCAAGTTCTTATCTTGTACATATCCTCGTAGGAACAGCCAAAGGAGCCGGTTCTGGAATCTTGCGAACATTGGAACAGGTGAATTCCCAATTTCCTTACTTAATGATCTATTCATATATAACTGCATCATTTTTTTTCGATGATTATTTTAGTAATGCGATTGCGATTGTCGCTATCAAGAAAAGACATGATTTTAGATTGCTATCATGTTAATCTAATCGTATCTTTAGGTATGTTGTAGGATTTCTTTTTCCTCGTGTAGTATAGTATTTCGTTTATCCTCTACTACTATTATGCTGCTATTCCAGGACAAAAAAGTAGTTCTCCTACAATTTCAATTAATGGAAAATGATTCTACCAGTTTTTTTTTTTTGTTTTCTCCAATCTTATATCGACGCCAACTCCGTAAAAGTGTTCATTTATGGGACTTTAAAGTTCAAAATCTAATTTTAGCTGGTGAGAGGCGTATGGATACCAGCACATAATGAAGTACTTCGACCGTCTTTTTCGACCAAAGCTTGTTGCGTTGCATCAGTGATTCTTGTACTTGACAGACATTCCCGGTACATCTCTGCTCCTCACGACATCATTTATTTGGTTCGTTGAACTGCGCCTTATCCATTCTTTCTTGATATGTGTCTCACGAAACAGCATTAATATCAAATACTTCATGTATACCAAACTTTACCACTGGGTACTCTTTATTTTAAACCTCAGATTTTTAATACTAATTAATCATATTCTCACCATACTATACTTCTTCCCATAGGTTAATTGGGCGGAAAAGTCCTGCCATCGTTATTAAAGTCTCAAAAAACTTTTAAAAACTTAGTTGTTTTTCAAAAAGTTACTTTGTAGTCACGCTACTTAAAGTGTCAACACTTAATGCTTGATACTCTTTTCAAAATACAAAAAATTTTGATCTTGCGGATTAGCTAAATACGCTTTTGTTTTTATAGGGTATTGTTGGCTTCTTTGTTTATTTCAAGTTGACCGCCGTATTACTAAACGTTCAAGATCCTTTCGCACCGTTCGAAAATCTTTTTTGTGCCGTATTTATGGGCGGTATTTGGGATGCAATGTCTCGGTTGGTCATTTCTGTTAACTTTAGTCAGTCAATTTAATGTAACAAATCTGCGTGTTTTGAAAGCGAAGATAAGGTTTTTTAATCGAACTCTTTCATTATTTTCTTTCACAATATTTTGTATTCGTGTAATTCTGTTTTACTTGCTACTTCCGCTAATTTGAAGAGCAATTATGGCCAGTCGAGAACGAAGAGCAGTTGGTCAAAAAGCAGAAAATGGAGCTTTACCTACAGAACCAAAGAAGGAACAATGATGTTAACAAAAGTACAGTCGACCGGTATTTCCAGAAATAATGGGCAGCATTTTTAAATGATAATAACTTTACTGGATGCGTCTTGTTTTGCTTCTTTCATCAGAAAACAGAAATTATGTGATCTTCCTAAAATTTGGTATTTAAGAATTGCTTTCAACTCCGACGCTTTTTAACTACCATTCAAGGTCAATAATTTTAAGATCAGTAATTTCAGTTAACAAAGTATGCTCAAGTAAGTCATTTGCGTTCAATGCAGAAAAAAGCAGGGGAACATCATAGAACACCATAACTTCAATGTCCAATGTTTTTACTTTGCTGCAATTTTTTTTTTTTCTTTGTTCATTAGTATTTTTACGTAGGAGTAATAGTTTGATAAAAAATGTCTGAAGTGATATTAGGTAATTGCTGATTCCATGTTCTGTCTGTTATACGTGATATACCATCTGGAAAATACTGAAAGATTTTCGTTTTTGTGCTTAGACGTATAGAGAAGCCGTCAGTCTATTAAAAAAAAAAAAAAAAAAACAACGAGGAATTTTGAGCAGTCTTGTGATTAGGGAAGTTGTTGCAAATGTACTAACACATCTATGCTTTATCATATTTGATCGCTATCTATCTTTGTACATGCATCAATTCGAAATGTATTACTTTGCCAGTAACTGGAAAAATGTAAAGATCTGTATTTCATTAACAGTTTATATTATTCTTTTTTTTGAAAGACTGCTGTTGATATCTAATGTGCCATGCATATAAGATCCTGAATGGAGAGCCTCAGATGCACTAAGTTACTTTTATTCCACAGACTGTAAAAATTGTTTTCATTGTGCTGCATTATTTGCTGTTCGACGTATTATATAATAGTCTTAGTATGTTTTACTTTGTCATCTTTTTCAATTTTTTCAACTTTTCAATTTTCAATATTTATGGACGGCAATTTGCACATTTTTCTAAATTTACATCAGAATTCACGGAATTAATTGTAAGAGGGTTGAATATGTCCAACAATTATACCTCGTGAAAAACACTTCAAAATTATGTAAATCCTTAAATATTTGTCGCTTCTGCGTAGAATAACGTGGAATAGAAAGCCAGAAATGACACTACCAACGGAAAGATAATTTCCGTCCGATTCAAAGTGAGGGAAGATCCTATTCTTAATGGTTGCACCAACCGATTTACTCTAATGGTAGATGCTTTTAGATGCTTGATATTGGTGGACAGTAGTCCTTGTTTACTTTCAGCTTCAGCTTCGTCCTCATCCAGTTTTACTCACTCTATCTGAGGAAATTGTCTCATATCCATCGTCTATCATTCAACTAAATTGTTGTAAGCGGAAGTTCCACAGTCGGACATGATCGTCATACAGTCTGACTCTGTTACCATTTAATTTGCAATCTGAATCACCGACCTAATGATATCAATCTCATCCCGTAATGATGATGTATGACGCAAATCCCAATAGTATTGCCTAAAATAACAGCAGAATTTCAGGTAATCGCAGCGCACTCCGACCTAGTTCATATCTCACTGCGCATTTGACATACACCTGGGAAGCAACTCGATTACCTTTGTCCATATTTCTTCTCTGCTTTTGTGTCTTCTGCATTGTATTTTCAATGCTTATTAGTTCATACATATAGCGCTTTAGAAGGGTGATGATTTGTTCTTGGTTCCTGTGTTATTAATAACTGATGAGATGGGGGTAGGAGGGAGGGCGGGCTTTTTTCGGGGAGTATGAGAAAGATGTATGTTTTCATTAACTGTTAACCTTTATCATGCAAATATCATCATTGATTACAGCACAAGCATTCAGGAACATATTTGAGATTTGTTCGGATGGCGACACATCTCGTCCTTTCGTTACCTTCCAATTTCTTTTCATAGAACATTCTGTTTGACGTGATGATCATTCCTCCTAATCTATGTCTATTCTAGAAGATAGAAATGTCATCAATCAGAAAATCTGCTTTGTTAGCTTTGTTCTTTTTTGCAGAATGGTGATTAATACAGATATGCGTGAGGCCAAACAATGTCCCGCCGATAATGTGTGCTATTTGTCGTCATTGTCCAAGAGCAGTTTTCGAAGTCATAAAGGTCGTCTGTCGCATATTGTTGTAATTGAAGTGAACAAGGGAAATTTGAATATTACATGGCCCTATCTTTTGCTTTCAATCCGGAATGCGTCATTTATATCGCTCGATTTGGTATTTCATTTATACTGCTTAACTATTGCTATAGGCAAACACTTACTACTTATATTCAGTGAATTTTCCTGAGATTTACAAAATCAAATTTAAAAATCAATTTCCCAGTTTGATTTTGTGGGTTATTGTATCGATAATAGCACTGATAAGTACTGCTGATATACCAGGAAAGTAGCTTTTTTCTATTCTGAAATCGTAGTCAAAGGCTGAACGAAACGATAATACAAAAAATGCTGTATGAAACATTCGTAGATTGTGTACACGATTTTCTCAACGTGGTAGTGATGAGGTGATAGTAACGATAAGATTTCTGATAGAATTGATAAACTAGGAGATTCCAATTTAGGGTGCATTCGTGGTAGGTATAGCTTATTATTCCATCTCGAAATTTCAGGGAGGTTAGAAGTAGAGATATGTTAACCCTTGAAAATTGATCACTGTGTTCACGTATTGTAAAATAAGATTATCATCTTGGATATAGCAATCATTTTTCATGGTGGGATATTATTGAATGTACTGTCTAGGTTTGTTCCTTAAACAAGCACTGTGTTACTTGTATAGTTATTATTTTCTTTTCATTAAAGTGCATTTCGAGTTCCTTTGAGTTCTATTCGGGAAGGCAATTCTCACGTACATTTGCCTACATACGGATGCATGATTGTTATTGACAAGTGATTTTTATCCTTGAAAACTTAAAAAAGAACTTTATTAACTCAGTTTTTTGTTCAGGAACTCAGTGGTTTGGGAAGGCAAAAAGGATGGCTAGCGAACTCGTTGCAAGAGCGATATGATGTTATTCGACAAAGCGCGCAGACCCGTTCAGTGCTTTCCGTTGGAATTACGACGTTTCAGTTAGTAAGTAGGAAAGAAACAGATGCAAAGAAAAAGCTCAAATACAAATGTCAGGTCCGGACTTAAGTTGTCTTTTAACATATTTGGCTTTGACAAGGACCACTGAAAGTAATGTTCAACATCAGTCATTTTTATATCGATGAAGTCGGTTTGAGTAACTTCGACTTAGTATTCAGTTAATTTGTTTCAGGTTTTCAATATACTTACATTATGCACCGTACCATTTATCGTTGAAGCAGATGGGTTCCAATTTTTGTCGAAACATAAGTTCGACTTTAATCGATGGATCAGTTTAGGCATCCCGTATGACTATGATACTGAAAAAGTAAGTTGATTTCTATGCGGTTTCTTCTTGTCCAGACATTGGAAAGTGGGTATTTTTCCAAAAAAATTGGAAGCAGGTATTTAATGTCGATATCTCTAATGCCGAATTAGGCCTTCAGTCGTTTCGGAAAGAAAGATACTATGCCCATTTAACCAAGGAGAATATGACTTATTCCTTATCGGACTCGCATTATGAAATCTTTCAGGGAAGCACAATGAAGACATTATGGCATGAAGTATTATGTGCCGCTGTTCCGATTACATTACATAATGGACTTATCGATTTAACATTTATTTATCAACACTTTTACAGTGTTCTACCAGAGACATTCAGTGAATTCGTCGTCAGTGTTTCTGATTGGTTTCTATTGCCGGAAGGCATTCCTGGTCTCTTTGACTCAAAATACATCGCGGAGTATATCACCCGATTTAAAGCATCCTTTCTAGAATATGTTTTCAGGAAATGGTACTGTCTAAAGCTGTTCATATATTTTTCCTATCTTAAATGAAGCAAAACTATTTTTGTTCTAAATAAAAACTGGCTCGTGGCTTGTACAGAATCTTCTGCAATGCAACACAAGGTTCTGCACAATCATTCTGTTGTTGCTTTGACGTTAAAAGTATTTTGGTGACAACAGCAAAAGTAGTTGATTCAAATATATCAAAAATTGCAGTCAACGTGAAAACGCAACTGAACAAACACGTCATCGATTGTATGTAAGCATTGAGTTCGATTTCACACCTACAGAAACGGACTTGAAAAATACTATTGATATAGTCGATTGTAAATTGCCGAATGATTTTGATGCGGGTACTTCGGTAGAGTCCTGTCACATTAGTGACGAACAAAAGAATTCACTTTGCAAACGATATTCGGTAAAAGTTTTTCAATTTTTGCTTTCATTAACGATTCTTTATTAAACGCGGTGTTAATGGTATTATGCACCTTTCACGATTCATAATACACCTTTCGTAATATATTTAGAGGTATTCGCTAGTTAGATATAGGTATTCGAAGACAATAATTCCTGGGCTCTTATCTTTAAAATACAAATACTGAGGGAATTGACTACTGCAGAAGTTGATTCGTTTAGATGAGTAAAGTTATACTTTAATAAAACGTTTATTGTCCTCATTCTTGATGAGAAATGTCGTAAATTCTAATAGTTGTTTTGTTATGTATTTAGAGTGTTTAGAATATACTTGATTATAATGAAAATAAGATAACTTGAAGAGTGTTTAGCTACATTTAATGCTAGTGCATTTTTATACATTTTTTCCTACAGTTATAACAGTGGTGGATTGAGTATTCATCAGATGAACCAACACTTAAGAAATGGAACCGACATGGGTTAAATTAGGTTATGCTATTTTATAGAACTATGGGTTCTGTCGCACCGAAGACTGTTCATATGTCCATGACGTTGACATCCTACTGAACTTAGAGGAGCAAAAGCAAGCAAGGGTAAGCCATTGTTAATATGACCTTTCATTTAAAAAACCTATACGGATTTTTCCAAGTTCTGACAACGTTTTATTGTTAACGTTTAAATCGTTACATTTGCATCTGACACTGTTTCGGGTTATTATATTAACAGATTGAGGTTGGATAAGTTTCATATCTGTTGTTAACTCTCAGGTTCGTGGAAGACGGAAAAGAAGATACGATTATGAGTCGAAATTGTCTGAGTCGGGATCAATTGATGATCGGAAGGACAAAGTTTTAGTGTTAGCAAACAGAGAAGGAACTGCTATGAAAGATCAGATTTCAGTGAACATTTTGAAGCAGAGCGAAACAAAGAAAACGTCAGTTAATCAGGCTCAGCCAACTGGTTTATTGCAGTCAGTTACAGGTTCTGTTTATACTTAATTGTTTTATTGCCTTTTCTTTAAATTAGTACTTAGTTTATCAGCTTATTACTATTTGTTTATTAACTTTATGTAGCTGACCAATTGCTTTCCGCTCCGAAGTTTCGGACATTCACATGTGCTATCATTATCAAGATGGAACTGTATACTTCGTCTGAGTTTGTCCATATTTAATCTTTTTTAGTTCTTTTTATTCGGCGACTTTTTACATTTGAAGTTCATCCCAGTCTAGCGGGAAGAAAAATCAGTCTGGTTTGCTCGATCTGAAAGCCGAGAGAATCTATGTTCTAGTCTACTTTAGCATCTTAGACATGGATTAGGATAGTCTAAAGCCGGAAAAACTGAAGTACTGCATTACTTGGGGGACTTATAACACCTTTCTAAAATTTCAGCTGAATGTACTGATTTATTTTAGGTTGCCATCGTGCTGGTGTCGACTCATTTATGACTGGGTTTGCAGTGGTATTTATGCAGCGTATGAATCTTTTACGAGTTGGGAATTTTGATCCGAAATGCGGTAAATATTCTGCAGAAAACTGGGAAGTTCATTCAAATTTCAGGTTCTATGGTAGTAGATCCTGAAAATTGAGGGAATGTTTCGAAATGTTTTATTGTATGGATTTATTTTTCCAGAGCCTTCAGTCACTGGTATTTTAAAATTCTGGTTTAATTTGCGTTTGGTTTTTTCAGTGAGTCGGGCATTCTAAACAGTTATATTTCAGGCAATCGAATGGCTTTACCAGGCAAGATGACACCGCTGGTGTTTCATAAAAGTGGTTATACCAAAGCAGCAGATGATCATGTAGCAAAATGGATCGAAATTGAACGTGAACGAAACCGCAGAGTACAATTACGAATTTAGTGATGGAAAACCGATCCTGTTCCATTCTACAAGACAATCGAACTTTTTATGATCTCGTTTTTATTCGCATGTGTTTTACTATAACATGAGTCCACTTCATCCTCTAATTCAAAGTCGTAAAATTCAATGTTTATACCTCACTTTCCTCTACCTTTGACAAAAGGAAAAGAGATCTAAGCGAGACATCAAGATGTCAAAAGATGTCAAGATCTAAGTGTTAAATCTTGACATGCTCTTGTCATGAAGGAGAAACTTAAAAATGGAGAAAAGGTGTAATCATACTGGCAATACTATGGAATCACCGTCATTGCACTAAGGTCAGTGGAAGTTCCCAGATGTATAGTGAAGTGTTTTCCTCCCTATAGTGCAGAGATGAATTTATGACAGAAATCCTGCATGATTCGAAAAGGTCCAGATTCAAAATCATAAATTGTTCTATGGAAACTCATGAATTCTGCGTAGTTTATGCAAGAAAACAGAAAAAATGTGGGATTTCGACCTTTATCTTATGTGCTATGCCAAGACCTATTAAGTTGCTAGCGTTCTGAACTCTACAACATACTGGAACGAGAAATCGGTCTGATTGACATTCCTACGACGTGCGGATAATAATGCGGTTGGTTATTGCGGATAAAATTAGCGGAATTTAAATACAAGATCCTAAATATTTCTCAGCAATCAAGACAATATAAGTTTATATACAAATTTCCTTGTGCAATTTGACAATGTACGACATTGCAATATAAAAAATATAAAATTAAAAAAGGAAGAGTTAACCAGACGTATATTGCCAGCATTTGATATCACAGATGCAAAGGAATGCAGTGCAAACAAAAGAATTGCAATTTAATCGTATTCTGAGCACTTCAAGACAGCTTAAGCTCTGCAAAGTCACTTCATATATTCAAAAAATATTTTGAATTGAAAGCCACCACGACACCACAAGTGATATTCTTAGCTTCTCAATCTGATCGCAAACTTCTGTCATCAAATTGTAGTGCCAAACTACTTAACAGAAGTCTGACCATTGGAAATTACATCCAGAATCAAAGGTCGTGAGCAGACTGAGGTTTTAGCAATGAACAACGGACCCTTGTCGAAGTCGCTGCATTTCTGTCCAACTTATAAATGGAACACAAAGTCCTTTAGTGGGGTTTTCGGAATTATCGTTTCCGTTATTTGCTCTACTTACGTCATCAGAGTGCTACAGTGCGATGAAAAACAGATGACTTTTAAAATGTTTTTTAGAAGCCACTGAAGAAACTAAGGGACAAGGCGCTTAGGTAAAAGAAGACAAACTCAATCTTGCATTTTTTTTTAGACGAACTGTGTTACATCCCAAATCATCAAAATTCGATCAGAACCAGCTGTAACAAGGCGACCTGTCGATTCTTGCAAATGCATGCATATAACACTTTGACGTAGCTCCGAAACGACTGCTAACGAGGTAAGACTGAAATTGAAAAAAGGACTTTTTTAAAGGTACAAGGGTACAAGAGTGAAGATGATGGTTTCAAAAAAATCTATGACAGCTAAAAGAGCAGAGAAATTAGGAATAAGTGAAAGCTAGCACAGTTATCTTAAGGGAAGCTTCAATGCATTATATCTAGCATTGATCGCGAAGAAACAGGACACTGCGGTTATCTTCGAGATACCAAAAAGAAGTGCAATCAGCTTTAGGGAATAATCAAATAGTATAAGGTTCAAAAATTAAAAGCTCAAATGATAATTCCCAACAGTCAAAATGAAACTCCAAAGTCATCCGATCACATAACCTATATAATACATAAGTCTTAACCAGAAACAATATTTTGTCAATACTATTCAATAAACGTACTCAAACTGGTCGGGGAACTGTTGCATTCGAGATTGACAAGCGTTACATATCCTAACCGGTAATTCATAACCCATCGGTGGGTACCTTGTCGTACTGACACAGCATTTTGCGCATACAGCATTACCACAAGTACGGCAATGATGTTGGCGTAAACCAACTACCTAAAAGGAAACATTCCAACAGTATTTGTATTTTAGTAACTTGAAAAATTCTATGAAATCACAAGACAGCTTACAGAGATATCAAAACTATGCATTTATAATTTACATAATGAACAATTTTAGAACTGCTAAGGATATGAAGGGAATGACTAGAGACAATATTTTGTGTCACCTTTTTATCCCACATTTCTCGAAAGTTCCAGAAAAATGGCGAGTCACACAGCTGACAGCTATCACTCGTTTTCCATTCCGGTGTCTCTACGCGTTTCGCTGTCATATCCCAACAAACTAAACTTCCGTCTTCATCTGCCGAAAAAAGCCTTTTCTTATGTTGTGCATATCGTAGACATGTCAGTCTGTTGTTGTGAGCGCTAAAATTTAGTTATCTATAGTTTTTCTTGAACTTAATATTCCCGCCAATAACAACAAATACCACTCAACAAAACAACAATTGTGAAGATTCCTAATAAACAATAAATAAGCCATTTTGGTTATGGAAATGATCAGCTGTGAATAGAATGAGGCGTTTGAATAAAGAAAATTCAGCTGTTAACTGTTAACATTAAGCAGACCCAAAAATGAAAATACTCTTTTGGTTTGAGAAAGATCTGACCGAACGGAATTCTGCCTCAAGTCAGGTTAATAGCACAAACGTCAGCTTGAATTATTTGTATCACTGTTATTCAGCTCTCAATCATTATAAACAGATTAAGCTTACTTCAATTCAAATGCTTGTCCTTTCTTTCCACCAATATCCCACACGATAACAAGGCGATCGGCTCCTGCTGAAAACAATAACTGACGTTCTGAATCCCAGGCCAGTGATGTTATGGTATCTAAAACAAAGCGAGCATAAGCAACTAACATTATCATGTAAGAAGAGTTTTCGACAGGAAATTAAGAGGTATAAACAAAGAACAACTACATCAAAAGAGGCAACAATTAACATTTCATCGCCAAACCGCCCGTCATTTAGTACAACGTATCTTCCAATGATATATTCCCGAAAAAAGTTTGCGGTACCAAATACGAATCATTCAAAAGGATACGCCAAAGTAGACACTAATTTAAATGTCATCTTCAAACAATGCCTTCCTTATATCTTCAAAGTTTTTCATAAAAATCAGGTATTAGAAAATAAACACTGTCGATATCTATGCTTCGTTATCTTTCCCGTTACAGCCACGTTTTGTCAGACACTACATATACGTAAATGGTTATCGTTCGCTTAGATTCTAACTTATGAAACCAACTTGTATGTGCAGAAAGGGTGGTAACAACATTTGCTTCTGAGCCATTCAAGCGTAAAAGAATAATACCACCACAAGAATCTCCCAAAAAAACAAATTTCGATGGCACATCGAATTCCAGTGCTGTGAAGCCTGACTCGCCTGCATAGGATCCTGTAACAAACAATCATTAATGTTAACAGGTGATCCATCCAATGACAATTCAGGAGATTAATCCTATTCTGACCAAAATCGTTTATATCCCTACAGCAAAGAGTAAAATCAGCAAGCTACGAACTTTAAAGCTCGATTAACATAAAATATGGACTAGGAACGAGTAGACGTTAAAACAGATTTTGATCAATCAAGGCAAATTATGTACAGCTATTGTTGCACTGCCTAAAATTTAGGTAATGGGAAATAATTTTAATACTTGGCCATATGGTTATAAAATATATTTAGATGGAGATGTTGGCTCATTTTGTTCATTAAATGATTGGTAACAGTTTTCTAGAGTAAAATACTTCAATCGACTTTCGCTTAAACAAGTCAGCATTAAAATCTCGCAAACAATAGATTCTATGAATTCTGGTCCCTCGTCATTAGTCCTGGTTAGACACAACCACAGTCATTTCAAGTTTTGTATGTCTAGATGGATTTTTCAAGAAAATAAACCCCCATCACATTCGTGTTCATTAGCTGAAGGTTATTCTTTTCCAGTTAAGGTTCATTACTTACAATAGAAGCTGTTCTGATAGGTTGTCTTTCATCATGCATAGACATTTACAGATGTTATGCAAAATTCCATAAAGAGTTTATATGGCGATAATCATGGAGCTAACCCATTTTTACAGAGGTTTCCGAACAATGCCAAACCGTCGTTTTATCTTTGCTACAACTAAAGATCAGTTCAGCTTCCGGTGAATACAGTACTGCAGTGATGATGCTCAAATGTGCCATCCAGTGGCGTTGTTCCAACAAACTGTTCATGTCTTCTGCTACTTTGTATTCATAAACACTACCGTTGATAAGACCAACAAAGAGCCTGCAAGAAAGGACATTATTTCACACACAAAAATAGTAACTTTTGGGAATAATTTTGTACAATGACGTTGTTATCTATCCCAGTCATCCTTAATTACTTGGACGACAGCCAAAGAGCCGTTACAACTAGAAAGTTGGGCAAAAAATAAGAAAAAGGAAGAAAGGATAGAGGACAAAGGCTTAACCTAGAATCTGTCTCTCCCACTTCGGAATCTATTCATCCAGCATCATGCAATTCCCTAAAAAGGTATAACCAGTCCTACAGTTTGTTTTCTTCGTTTTTTTTTTTCCTCTTTTTTTTTTACTGAAATAATATTGCATACAAGCAACAGGGGACAAAAAAGAAAAAGTGGTACCTTAATTTATCTTCATCGAAATACATCGAATTGGGGGAAAATGGTAGATAGTGATAGATAGACGGCCAGAATTGCTCGTTATCACGTTTCAGGTAGATACGTAGTGATCGATCATCACTGATTGTTAGCACTCCTTCTTCATTACTTAATAAGTGCACGCCATTTACACGTGATATTTGTCCCTCGATTTTATGCAATAACACTAAATTCATCTTGACAATATGAAATCATCAAACAAATAATCTTAGCTGAACGAAGTTTGCTAGATGTCTCAACCTTTGAAACAATCCAGCTTTACTGTAAATAGTACTATGAATCATCCATAACAAATAAGTTTTTCATCTCTCTATATAAGCAAACTTTGTTTTTGGAAATTCGAATTATAAGAAAATAAGAGACGACCTGGCTTTCCAGTACCCAAGCTACATCGAGTCAAGGTACTTGGCCTCGCATTTATCACTGCTGCCATGTATTATTTTCAATAAAACAGATGAATATCAACTCCTGGAATAAGAAGAAATGGTAATTTCAAAATGAAAGGATAATTTCCAGGTACACACTTCCTAGACAAAACGCTCGAAGATATCACAATTCCAAGATAACATTGTAGAAAAAGGATGCGAAATTTTTTTTTGGTATGGCTGCATATTAGTTCATTTAGACTTACAATCCTCATTCATCCCTCTTAAAAATATTTCTCTGTCACCTTACTGTACAGAAACCTTTTGAAAAGATGATACTGACTGACAGCCCGGGATACACTTTCAGCCTTTTCATACCGCAATGACAAAATACTACCGCCAACTTATTCCAAAACCATTTTGCAGTAGAATCATTCAGTTGGATTCCATGTATATCCACACGTCACTGCACCTCATCCCTTAACCTGATAAGCATATAATGGCTCTACGTCACCCAAATATTACACTGGCTAACGCAAATTCCACAATCGATTCATAAACTGTCAACGAAGAACATTTAAAATATATTTAGAATATCTTAGTGATACAACGTACGTCAACGTCGTACCGAATCGTTCACGTTAATACAACCATTGACGTATCTTGGCTCCTTCCCTTCTTCACTATCAAACACCTGTCCACGAAAAACTGAACACGCATTTTAGCGCTGTAATATGCAACTCCCGCGAGAACTTTAAAATTTTCAATTTGAATTTAGAGCCTAGAATTTGAAATATAGTTGTGATATATATATGAGAGTAAAGTGAGTACTTAGTTTAAATCAACTAAGTAACCTGGTAAAAGTTAACTAGCTGAATATTAGGTTAGGTAGGACATAACTACTTAACTAGTTGGATATCATATCTTGTGAAAAGAAGCTATACCTAAAAGACGGCCGAAGAGCCGTTGAAGAGCCGATAAAAAAAAAGAAATGGGAAAAAGAGAAGATGAAAATAGAAATGATGGTTTCAGATAGGAGTGAAGAGAAGAAAAGAGACCAAGGAGACAAAGGCTGCACGCCTTTTCCGTTCTCGGCTCCTAAAACATAACAACAATTTGATTATGTCCAGATTTATTAAAACGTTGACGAAATATGACTGTAAGTTTGAAGAGTGGTGGATTAAGTAAACAGTAAAATAGCCAAGTCGAACATGGAACACGGAAAAAGTTGTATCAGGGGGAGAGATTAAGGAGACGTACCGAAGTTATGGAAAGTAATCTTTTAACAGGGATTGCGAGAATGCGGAATGAATACAGCTCACATTGAGAACACTTCCTTATCAATTGTGGCCCAACTTTCGAAACAACTAAAACCAAGTGTAAATTGTCAACAGTTCCTCACATTGAAATGGGACTCGTATAAAGGACAGTCGTGCGACTTTTCAGCCTTACTTGAGTTTTCGGATGACTTTTAAAGGGTGTTGACAGTATGTCAACAATCTTTAGCATATTAGTACTTAGAAAAATGAAACTGTTAAGCGACGACACTCTCATGAGAGCAAAAAAGATCTGAGCGGCTTTCAGAGACTCTTTTAAAGCGTGAGCTGCTCCAAAATCCAACATTGGTGTTATCACGATGCATAATGAATAACTTCCTATTAATAGTTGAAACGTTTCAAAATATGCTCCAGGAACTCTCAGGGGACATGGCATCATATTTAAAATGGGAAGTAACTATGTTGTATTACCATATACGAGTTGCTACCAGACAATCTACACGCTGATGAATTGGAAATATTCTTGTTTACGGCGATATAACACATTCGTTCACATCCCGTGATTGAGAAGTGGTTACAGCAAGTGTAACAAGTAAGTATACATTTAATTGTTAAATGCATTAATTACTAAGAAACAAAACGATCGCATTAAATACCATCGATTTAATTATTATGTGACGAAACTAATTCAAAGAACATAAAAGAAAAAGAGGATAAAAATTAGAGCACTACCAATTGAAATATAATTAAGATTTCCAGCAATGTCTGAAGATAAATGTCAGAAATAAGCTAATATGCTTGTTATTGTTAATTAATTATCGTCACAAAAATTGAAAATAAATTTTTGTAACAGTGCACAAATCATTCAGTACGCAATACTGGATCAAAGAACGCGAAACTATTCAATACTGTGACTGTGCAGATTAAATATACCATGAACCACTGACATTTAATGTTAGCAATCCATTAGTTTTTCTCTTTTGTGCAAATATTACATCCTTTGTGTCATTTCATTTTTAAAATTTGTCGTTCCCTTTCAAACATCGTCCGAGCTCAAATTGAAATTCTTCCTCGAAATAGAGTGTCGGCCAAGCCGAAAAAATGTGATGAAGTGAATATTTTTCAGATAAATGATTCATTATATAAAATTAATAAATGAAATTCAATCCTCAAGTGATGAGTCATTTATCCAAGTCCAACTATTCCAGTTTTCTATCACTCTTAATTGCAATGTTTAAATGTTGCAGACAAAGCCCAATGTTATAAAATTCTTCCAATCTGTTATAAAGAATATCTGTAAATGTCGAAATATTGTAATAGGTGCAAGTATTGGGATGTTATAAAGAACCTCTAGTCTGATAATTAAACTAATGTATATGGAATGCTACACCATACTCACTCTAGGAGCAGTCATCCGGGTGTCAGTCAATCAGTCCAGTACTCACTCAGTCACTCATTTCAACAGTTCAGTCGGATTTCAACTTAAAGAACGGGTTCGACGGCAGCAGGAACCGCAATTCAACGATTCAAAAGCACAAATGACAAGACTGGTGAGTATCCTTAAATATTTACTGTGTACTGTTCATTTCATCCGTACTATTGTTAAGCGCGATATTATATAATATCGTATAAGACCAGTAAGAGCTACTGTCGACGTAAGGGAATCATAGCAGCGACAAATAAATTACAAGATCTTTCCCGACAGTTTCTGGTGTCACGAGCAGGGATAATATCATTGATGATACTAGCCAGCACTATCGCGACAAAATGGACAATCCTGTGGCTCTTCAACGAAGTCCAAGAAATGGATTAGAGATGAATTAGAGACCACCTGATCACGACATGGCAAATGAAGAACGACGTGAACAGTACGAAAATGGAAGAGGATAACTGATGATAAAATGAAAGAATTAAGTTATATGTTGGAACGCTCGTGAACATTAACGATAAACGGCTAGAGTGCCTGCAAAAGATTCCACCACAACAGTATAAGAGGAAAAGATGTATATCTTTTACACAGAGATGGTAAAAGACGCTCAGGGAATAAAAGACGCTCAGTGAATTTAATAAATGAATGAAATGAAGCATTGGTAACCTCAGTCACGTGCAAGAAGGATGCCAAGGCTGCAATCGAACGCATATAATGCACGAAGAGAACCCTTGAATTGTCGGATTACCGGAATGTCCACGTAAAATTTCCACAATA